GGGTCGGAGAGGCTGTTCGCGTGAACAACTCGTCTGACCAAAAATCCTAGCCCGAACGAGTCCCAAACCTAAGCCAAACCCAAAGTAAAAACCTCATCCTAGCCCTAATCTTAATCTAGGTCAGCAAATCAAAACCTAGCCAACATTTACCCTATAACCTAAGCTTTAAGCCAAGTAGTGAAAAACGTGGGTCACGTGACACCGATTTTTGAGATTAGCCCAATTCTTACGGTAACAAGTTTGTCGATTTTGGAGTATTTGTTTGTGTTAGAATTCTATAAATTGTTTAACTTCCAAATAAGGTGCTGTCAATCAAACTATTGTCAATTCACTGAATACCTCGTGGAATATGTATTTCAATAATGCCCGGCGAAATTGAGACAGCTTGCTAGATTAGCCAGCATTCGCTCACAAATTCGCCTAACAAGATTTATAAGTGCATGTTTTAGGTCATTTGCTGTCATAGGAACCCCTACGACTGCATCATTAAGCTTGACTAAGCGGCAAATACAATCTTATGGAAGAAGTCAGAGGTGGAAAGCGATATTTCGAAGCCTAAAGCGGCGTTAAACGAAGGTCGCTTTTAATTGTTGTCGTTAGAGAAAAGTGCTTCCCTAGTCGTCCTGTGGCAGATTTCAGAACCTACCAAGGTAAATTTAGCAAGTTTTAACATCCAAAGAATCCAATCGATGCAATATTTCGCCTGTAGTTGTGCGTGATTTGGCACTTAGAAAAACGTTGTAAAGTAGAATTGCTGGCCATTTCTTGTCTCATTAACATCAACATTCCCACGGTGCACTTGGGTCGTGCATTCGAGAAATGCGAGTTTGCCGAGGTGATTGCCATTGTAACAAGTGGACTCGATTACAAAACTTAGTGGAATCTCCAGATATAAAGAACCAGTCACTTATGGCTTGCACAGGTAGAGATGTGCTTATGTATGAAATAAATAATTCTAATCGACAACAATCAAACATACAACAAAACAAACAACAGCAACAATAAAAACAAAACAAAACAAAAACAACAAAACACAAAGCAAAACAGAAACAAATGCCTAATCTATCAATTGTAAATGATGCTATTGTTCGAGCTCCAAGGATGATTGAACTAATTGGGTTATAAATTAAGGTTTTTATCATTACAAAATTCTTTTTTAATCAGATTTCATGGACATTTCTCTTCGTAGGAGAGCATTACGCGTTGTTTATTTTGAAAGTATTACTGAGACACGTTAGATGTAGTTCGCCGTGCTTCCTTCAAATTAAGATGAGAAATATGATTAAAAAGACATGTTTGGCTTGAATATACTGCACAATGAAAAGCGCATTAGTTTTTTTGTCCTGTATAGAAAAAATCAAAGAAAACTCAGATTATTGGCCTATTATCCCGCGGCATTTTCTACACTCGACCACACTCCTCACCCAAAAAATCAATGGCTAAATTCAAATTAGAGATATGTACAATATCTTGCACTTTTTTGTTAGAAAAACTCATTTGACTCATTTGACTTCGACTAATTAGCTTGAATTTTAACCAGACATGCGCAGACAAAGCTAAAGACAAAAAATATAGTCAAATAACAATTCTGCTTAAATTAATTTAAATAACAGCATAGTATAAGATAACTTTATCATAGCATAACGTCAAAGACGTGGTTGATAAATCTAGTAGAGATTGAACTTCAATCTGTTATATCATCAAGGTTTATTATGCACAAATAAACGAACAAAAAATACATTAAAATAGCTCTTTGAGTTGCGATTTTAGCGCAGTTCTCGACTGCTGTGAATGACGCTACTGGTCAGTCGCTGTACACAGTATTGCACCTTTTAAATCCACTTTCGAATCCTTCAAATATTGACAAAGTAGTCAGAAACGATACCAGAGAGTGTAATCAAATAAATCGTCGTCCATGACGGGTAAACACGTCTCAATAACGGTAAGTGGCACTCGAGAATCTATAACATTTACAATAAAATAAATATTTTACAAGGAAACTGTTATCATAGTCAATATCAACTATTAGTATAATTTCATAAGTGAATATCATAATTCTAGCACGCTGATTGGTCGAATTTGACGCTTCAATGAGCGATACTCACCTATAGGTGAATATTGGATTTTTTCGCAAAATGGCTTCGTCCGCGAGTCGTTGGATTAAACAATTGGATTAAAAACAATTGTATTGAAACTTTTTACAGGTAAGTTTTGTTTATTTAATAATAAAAGCCTTGTCTAAAACTACTTTTTTATCTATCATTTTACGTCAAACAGGCTGAAGTTTGTAGGTTTTCGCCTGGTTTGTTTACATTTTACATTTTACATTTTTKGACAGAATGGTTTCAACAACAGTCTGAATTCACTGTCAGCTTTGAAGACATGGATACAAGTGATTAAACAAGTGTCTATCAAAGTTTTACGTGTCCATAAGGAAGAAAGATGGCAATYATTACAAGAAGACGACTTTGCTGTCAATCCGAGCGGCCCTCGACCGCCATCTTCAATCCCCGCCATATAACATTTTACGAAAATGCAGTAGTTCTTTTTTCTCTATTTTTATGAATATTCACTTATGAAATTATACTAAGACAATTATTCACCTCGTGCTCAGTGAATATCAATGAATATTCATTGATAATCACTTCGCCTTCGGCGAATAATTGTTAATTATAGTCYATAATATGTCTAGTCTCTGATAGTATTATTGAGGACAATGTACGAAACTTCGATTAGAAAGAACTTGAAGCAGGTCATGCAGACTTTCGAATTGATCATTATCAACCAACATTGGTGATAGTTAAATATTAAACCATATAAAAATAGGTTATTTTATCAACCAATAATAATTTGGCTATAATAACCATTCAAATTGGTCAGAATCATTTCTATTGGATATTTCAACGGCCAGGCAGTTTTTACAGTGTGCATTTTTAGCCTAAAAGGGCATGGGATATTATATCTTTGCAGCGAAAAAAATATTACTTTGTTTCCCCCGGAGTGAATCGCGGAAGTCTTGAAAAAGGGCGTGGCTGACTGATTTTAACCCCTAAGAGATAACAAATACTGTTAAATTAAATCAGTTCCAATGATAAAAACGCAGAGGAAAATCAATATCGATGCGATCTTTCTCTTTTTTTCCGACACCTTAAGAGATTGCAGAAAATGCAAATATCCAGAAATTCCAAATGATTATTGGCACCCTACAAGATTCCCAATCACGAACTTTTACACCTAAGAAATATGAGGAGCATCCCCCGTACTTTTACCCAGGAGTTCCCTCAGGGCTTTGTTTGGCCAGACAAATATGAATTTTTCGTTATGAACTGTATGAGGCTATGTATCCATTGTCTTAAAACATGGTTCTAAAGAATGTCGACTAGATTAACCTGATAATGATTACTCAAACTGAATTGACCTGATAAATGATTACTCAAAACGAATGTATGACGAATTGGTCAAATTTAAAGACATGATTCGTTGAGAAGTTCCTCAAAACGTTTGTTGAGGCTTTTTGAAATAATGTGCTATACTGACAACGTTGATTTACACTCACAACAATGTCATTTTTTATGCAAGCAATTTGCTGTGTAGCTAGTGTACTGAAACAATGTCGTCACGTACTGTGGTATACGTTATTACTATTGCTGTTATGTCCCATGGTATGACTTATGGTACCTATGGTAACAAGTGGGATCGCTTACCGAACGTGGTTGAATCTCCACATATAAAGAACCAGTTACTAATGGCTTGCAAGGGTAGGTGGTGTGCAAATCATCAAATCACAGAAATTACCTGAAAAAATAAATTTTATTGGTTAATTAATTAATTCAACGCACATTTTCTATTGTGAAGAGCCAGACATATAATAAGTAAAACTTTTATTATTGCAAAATCCTAGATTCTATTTAAAGTGCATATGACATGAATTTTTTTATTTGAAAAATAGAGTTAATAGTTCAAGAATAAAAGCTTGGTTAATTACCACTTGATACAGGGCTTCAAATTTCAGAGAAAATCGGAGTTAAAAATCCATTATGCTAATTTGATGACATCATTTTGTGTACTCTATAAAATTTCAACTGTGTTTTGTAACAAGTGTTCCAAGTTTACCCATGTCAAACTGTGAAAGATTGTTTTTGATTACATAACAAATATCTTCTACAAAACAATAAGGTGACAATAAACAATCGGGCAATTTTGTATTATCAATGAGTTAACAACTTGATGTCATCAAATTAGCATAAAATCCATTTTTCTCTGAAATTAGAAGCCTGCATCCAGTGGCACTTTACAGAACTATTACTTCCTTCATATTGGTTCTATTTTCAAAATAAAAAAAATTGTGTCATATGCCCTTTAAACCAAATCGCGTTGGGGTTTTTCTTTGCAGGAGAGCATTACGCGTCGATCGCTATTGAAGCATTGCCAAGACATGTTGGATGCGGGACGCCGTATTCAATTCGTGTAAAAATCATTCCAAGTGAGAAAAAGATAGAGATTGAAGTAAAACAGAACCGCGGATGATGGAGCCTGCATTTTTGAGAAGTAGCTGTAAAACAGTCCGTTACACCCGGCTTTGGGGAAAAAGTACCCAAGACGTTCGTCGGAAATTTTCAAGAAGGCCGCGGCTGACAGATTTTTAAGCCCTAAAAGATTGCATAAAAWATATTGTTAAATTAAATAAATTTAAAATCAGTTCCAATGATATAATACTTGATGACAAAAATGATAAAATACTTAATGACAAAACAAAACGCAGAGGAAAATGAAATCAATGCGCTCTTCCTTTTCTTTTCGGCACCCTAAGAGATTGCAGAAAATGCAAATATCCAGAAACTCCAAATTGGCACCCTAAAAGATTCCCAATYACGAATTTTTACCCCTAAGAGATTCGACGAGCATCTCCGGTACTTTTATCCCGGATTCCCCCCCCCACCAGCTGTTATATAAGTAATAGTGAAAAGAATATGTGGTGAGACTCCGAGGAAACAAAATGATTATCTGTTGTTTGTCCGGAGCCTCTACTTTAATCCTTTTGTGTGTGTTTAGTCACCAAAATGTCGAAAATTGGTTACTTGTCTATTTCTCACCAGAGACCGACATTCTTTACCTGCAATGTGAGAYGATTGTAAAATTGAACGGAAGAACGATTTTAAGGAAGGATTGGCCAGGACTTTGCCAAAGAGGTTATCTGGACTGCCCATTGTTTAAAGGAGGTGAGCGTTAACATTTAGTCTGTTTTTGTTTGTGTGTGTCTTGCCAGGCGAACTGATACTGATTATTTAACATAGAAACGTATACGCTTAAAAMTAAAGGAGACATATTCACCTGCCTTTTGAACGAGGTAATGTAAATTGTTTTACTACATTGTAACAAAACAGTCTCGGATTAAATCAACCAAAGAAATTCAAGAGGCTGCTGCTCCCCTACTTGCGAAATAATAGATGTTCTTTTCATCTAGCATAGTGGAGAAAGACAAAACTGAGATCTTCAGATTGAAAAAAATTGTCATCTTCAAATTTATGTCAGAATTATTGTCAAAAGGGGTTTTATGTGCTTCTGAAGGCATCCAGTCCTGTAGACGGGTGGAAGTAGGGGATCCGGAGGCATTCTTCCCTGGAAAATTTTKAAATCGAGAGACTGAGAAATGCGGCTTCCAATAYATTTTGAAGGATTTTRACAACAATTGTTTCCCCTTTTCCMCTATKTTTTTGTCCTCTTTTTATTCAGAGGCCCCCTTACCCCCTAAATCCGCCTCTGAATGTGGTCGGCTTTAAAGTCATTTACGATAAAACAGAAAAGAAAGTGTGTTGGTGTTACCATAAAACGGAATAATGTTCTAAGTATGCTACACCCTAWAAATATTTTCTATTTTCCAGATAAATGAAATTTGGTTGTATTAAATGGGCARTGTTGTTTTCATTCTCGCCCAACAGCAGGTCGCAAATTAAAACATCTTTCTTTTCGTTAAGGCAAGCAGTTTTCTTGGTTGATTTAAACATGCGCAGTACGCAGAGGAGCGTGCATTGTTGGACCGGAAAACAGTTCTGCCGGGAAAAAATCATTGATAACATGAAAACGTTTCTGGTATTTTCCAGGGACATTACAAAATCTCAGTCTCATGCTCTGATCAGAACAACCTTGAAGTATTATGTGCCATGATGAGATTCACTTGGACGAACTAGATGGCCTCTCATTTTTACACACAAGAAAAGCCTTAAAATATCAAGCAATTGTTTTGCTCAAAATAGTTTGAATAACAATTCATCGTAATATTAACATATTTCAATAACAAATAAAAACATCACAAAATCAAGAAAACAACAATGTACTACTAAACAGACAAAAATAAGTTTAGAAACTAACTTTTTTTATTCTTTTTTAATAAAAAACTCTAAAAGTGCTTAATGGTATATATTTCAATCCCGTTCATCATTGTCAACAAACACCTTGCGTCGCATGGTCATCCCCAGGGCCTTCTGAGCGTCAACTGAATGCTTCTTTACGTTACTATGCTTATAACATTCTGCAGTTATCGAACAAGCGATTTATGCAGAAATACAGCCTTTTGCACAAATTATGAGACATTTTTATATATATAAATATACAGCCTTTTGCACAAATTATGAGACATTTTTATATATATAAATATACCTAACCAAATATCAAAAACACCCAAGAAATTATGGGATACCGTCGCTGATATTTTGTGTGTAACAACCTGATGCTAGGCAATCATGACAAAATATAATAGAGATATACCATAATTTCTGGGGTGTTTTTGATATTTGGTTAGGTATATTTATATATATAAAAATGTCTCATAATTTGTGCAAAAGGCTGTAAAGAAACAAAATAGAGTAAAATAGCTCTTTAAGTTGGGATTTCGACGCTTTACACAGTATTGGACCTTTTAAATCCACTTTCGAATCCTTCAAATATTGACAAAGTAGTCAGCAACGATAGTTGRGATCAAATCGTAACGTCGATGACAGATGAGCAAGTCTCAATAACGGTAAGCGACACTCGAATGTTTAGAGCATGAGATCTTTTATACGTAAAAAAATTATAGATATCAGAAAAGGGCAAGCATCAACTGAGGTACTTAGTGGTATTTAAGATACTTAGGGTAATTAATCATGTCTCTGACGGTTTAATAACATTTTACAAGCGGAAAAGTCGCGATACTCCGAAAACAAAGAGCTTAAAGCAGGAAATTCATCCATTTCCATTATTGTGAAATAGAATGGGAGACTCCAGAAAGGTTTTTCCCCGGCTTTCTGTCAATGTTTTAAAATATTTTCCCACTCTTCGCAGCCTGCGAAGACGGTCTCACAATAGATGTGGGATGTTGCATTTTTTTTATTCTTAAATAGGTTTCGTTAAGTCATTGTTTCCAGTCTTCTTTCCAAAAAATATGCTATCATTTCGAAACTCTTTATAGGTCGATGGGTCGTAGTAGATCTAAAACAGTGAGAGCTGATATGTTAAAAACGTCTTGTCTTTAGATAGTTTTGATCCAATTTTTTCATTGTGCCTTACTTAACGATGCTATTTTTTACTGAAAGCGGTTCAGTTAGAGCTACACTATAGTACACCGAAAGAATGTCGTCACGTACTGTGGTGTTCGTTGTCACTATTGCTTTTGTGTTTCTTATGGCCTCTGGTACCTATGGTAACAAGTGGCTTCGCTTACCGAACTTGGTTGAATCTCCACATATAAAGAACCAGTCACTAATGGCTTGCACAGGTAGATGTGCTTATGTATGCAATAAATAATTCTAATCGACAGCAAACAAACATACAACAAAACAAACAACAGCAACAATAAAAAGCAGTCACTATAAATGGCTTGTACCGGGAGGTGGTGAGCAAATCTGTGCATATCATGAAATTATTGTGGAGCTAAAGAAATCATTTTTGATTGGTTAATTTCATTCATTGTATTCATATTTCTATACAGCGAGGAGTCATCCATGTGGTGAGCTTAGCTTTTAATTCGCGAATTCCCATACCCAAGTTCAGTGATCATGAACAAAGGATTGRACCGAGGTCAGTGGTGGAAACTAGCGGTAAACTAGTATAAGCTGCGTCGGTGTTTCTAAAGAATTTTGCAAAAAGATAAATTTTAATACCTTGAAACAACTTACTGATGTTTCAGACGTTAATCYTTCGTCGGAGTTTACTACGACGAAGCAGTTTACTCCGACGAATGATTAACGTCCGAACGYCAGTAAGTTGTTTGGCCTACTTTTTTTACGGTGTTAAAATTTACCTTTTTGTTCGTGGTCACTGAANCGACATATGCGCAAGAAAAGGCTTAACAAATTAGCAATGTTTTTGATCGAATAGTTCAAATACCATTAGTAAACGATTAACTCAATTATTTCCTTAAGGGCCTGAAATTTTACTTTAAATTAAATTTCAAGTGTATCTAAAATATGAGTCAAAGAGCTGGTTAAAGTAAAACTGGAGTCTCGGCCAATTGCAACTGGGCAGGCTGTAGCTAACTGAAAAAGCTGGTCCTACATCATTTATTTTTGTTTCTATCCCCTCTTGCCTCCTATATTGCACCTTGTTGGCATCAAATTGGCTTTAAAACGATGGCAAAGTAGTCAAGCAACGATGCTTCAGTCTGGCATAGGATGGTGCTCATTTCTTCGTGAAATTTTAAGGTAGCACCATTCCAACATTTCGATGTATAGGTTATGCTTGACACTCTTAATTTATTAATTAGCCACGGCCTATGTTGCTGTGCTTAGAAGAAAGAACCAGTTGACGTAGTTCCTTGTTAGCACTAATACCAATGAAATATTTTCCATTGTCGATATAAATAGAATTAGTCTTTTCCCGTCTAGCAACGAATCTCTCCAAATTAAGAATTAAATCCTCAGTAGATGAACTAGTGACGACTTCGAGATGAAAAGAGTGAGAGCTATACAAGATTTTGCATTCTTGCTTTCGCGTCCTCGTCAATCTTTAACAACATGGAACAAGCGTAATCAACTCCGGTCTTCAAGAAAGCTCTTTGGGGCTCAAGAAAAATCTTTGTCTGTTGGTAATGCTCCCTCCAAAAAAAAGTATCTTTCTATGATTAAGAAATATAAAACGGCGCGCGTGTCTCTGTCCTCTGATATAAACACGGTGGGAGTTCGAAAAACACGAGAGAAGCAAGCTTAGGAACACGAGCGTAGCGAGAACATTTTGCCGGTAAGCCGTGTCTCTGTCCTCTGATATAAACACGGTCGTCAGCCAATCAGAGCGCGCGTTATATATCAAAAATAATTTTATTATAAGCATTAAATGACTTCACACTGTTCCTATAACCCTTTGCTAAAACAGTGTAAATATGAGTGTCCCATTTGAGATTGCAAGAAACAGTTACTACCTAAGTCTTTGACATGTTTTACGTGTTTAGCTTTATTGTTCAATTATAATTATATTAATCGTACTGGATTGAATCGCACTTGCGTGTGACTGGAGAACTTTAGATGTGTTGAATTTAGGGCGCCAATCATTGCTCCAAGACAAACGAGGTCTTCTTGTAGGAGGTCACAATCTTCTGATCTTCTGAGCTGTTGATAACATTGGAACATTTCTAGTCGTCAGCAAATAGTGCAACGTTATTCTAAACCACAGAAGGAAGATCGTTGATGTACACGGACAACAAAGGTACAAGTCCCTTGTGGGACTCCAGGTGCATGGGACTAAAACACTCCTTGAAGTGTAATCATGATCGAACAAGCTTAGTAACTTGCTATTGATACCATAACGGGAAAACTTGAATAGTAGTCGTTTATGGGAGACGATGTCAAACGCCTTGGCAAGGTGTAAGTACGTAATGTCCGTCTGCAGGACGTTGTCTCCCAAGGTGATGGAATGAGAGCAGTTGGATGTCGGTTGACCGACGACTTTGGAGGAAACCATGCTGGGCAGTAAAAAATTGCACATGATAAGGAGTTCATTAACCCAATGTTCAAGAACTTTGGATAAAACACAGAGAGGTTATATCGGTCTATAGTTCGTGACTTCGTTAGTTTTTCCTTTTTTATGGACAGGAACAACAAGTGCATTCTTTCATTCAGATGGCACTTTGCCGAGGTCCAAATAATGGTTGAAGAGAGTACAAACAGACGATTCAATAAGTTCATGCTTCTTTGGATTGAATGCTTCTGGTTCATCTGTAGCAAAGGCGCTTGTCTGCGTGGTCCAGGTATCGGTATCTTTCAGCCATGTCGGTCCGTTGTATCATAAACGATAAGAGTTCAGCAGGTTGGATTCCAGGACTTGCACAATCTGCTGGATTTTTTGTAAAAGGACAGTAAAACTACATCTACAAATGTAACCGATATCATCCTTTACATCCCAACAATATATTTTCACGCACATCCATTGGTCCAAAGGCGTCATGTGCTTCGCTGCTCGGCCAAATGTTCATTTTTCGGACCATTTCTCATCCTCGGACATTATCAGCCGATATCCCAGGCGCCAGAAGGGTTTATTTACTTAAGAGCGGATGTCAGTAAAAATCAAACATAACGTGCCAACTCTTGAAAAATCGATTTCGCTCATACTCTGAACTTAGGTACCCTATTATATAAGATAAACAACCATGTATTTGGTTTTTGAAAATAACGTTTCATTTATGAGTAAATTGAAGTTTCGTGGAACGATGTAAATATGCTCATTTTCGAGCTATGGAATGGCGATAAACTGATGGCCTCGTTTGGTTAATGCAGCAATGTTTAATGCTTAAAACATTTATAAGATAAAAATATCACTCATTTTCTTTCATTTGGGCGAGTTTTAAACTTGTGGCTTATATCTAAAATTTCTGGCGAATTTTTATAAATGACACCTGTTTTTGATCGTTAAAACTACTATCAAAATAGCCGTCGATTTGACAAAGACCGATATGATCAAATCAAATGATCTTTGCAGGATAAAATGTCAAGGAAGAGTTCTTTCGATCTATGTAAAAATATCGTTGGGTAAATGTGTTTATGCTTCGCTAGAACCGACCAAAGTTACCGAAATATTCATATTTTCAACAGGTGTGAAACCAACAAGTTGATAAACACGTCAACAGAATAGATCGCTTTATGTTGTGTTTCATACCCAAGAGCAAGCATAAACTAAACTAAACATTTACCTTGTGTTTATCTCGAGAATTTTTGTGTTTTGAGACGTTCTAACCACTTTTAATCAGGCCATACTTGATCTTCTGTTGGGCTTCCTGTGGTTAATTAGGCGCCCTAAGTGATGCTATTTTTAACTCTTATCGTAAAACTTTATTTGTTGTTTATCTGTTTTATTAAGAGATTTTCATAGAACTTTGCCTTCGCTAAAATTTGTTTTTG